TTATTCATGTGGGGGGCATGTGTGTATTCTTAATAAAAACAGAGAGCTGGGTCTAAAATCAGCCCTTATGTGGATTGCAACCAGCCTTAGAGTGTCGTGTGATCATTCTAGGGTAACGGAGCTCCAATCACATCGCACCTATGTGACCTCTCATCGCCCCTATATCACCTCTCATCGCCCCTATGTCACCTCTCATCGCCCAATATGTCACCTCTCATGACCCCTAGGTCACCTCTCATGACCCCTATGTCACCTCTCATCGCCCCTCTCTCACCTCACCTCTCATCGCCCCTATGTTACCTCTCATCACAGCTATGTCACCCCTCATCGCCCCTATGTCACCTCTCATGACCCCTATGTCGCCCCTATGTCACCTCTCATCACCCCTATGTCACCTCTCATCGCCCCTATGTCACCTCTCATTCACCCCTATGTCACCTCTCATTGCCCCTATGTCACCTCTCATGACCCCTATGTCACCTCTCATCGCCCCTATGTCACCTCTCATCGCCCCTATGTCACCTCTCATCACCCCTATGTCACCTCTCATCATGTCACCTCTCATCCCCTATGTCACCTCATCGCCCCTATGTCACCTCTCATCACCCCTATGTCACCTCTCATCGCCCCTATGTCACCTCTCTCATCGCCCCTATGTCACCTCTCATCGCCCCTATGTCACCTCTCATCGCCCCTATGTCACCTCTCATCGCCCCTATGTGTCACCCCTCATCGCCCCTATGTCACCTCTCATGTCACCTCTCATCCCCTATGTCACCTCTCATCACCCCTATGTCACCTCTCATCGCCCCTATGTCACCTCTCATCCCCTATGTCACCTCTCATCATCGCCCCCCTATGTCACCTCTCATCGCCCCTATGTCACCTCTCCCTATGCCCCATGTCCTCTCATCGCCCCTATGTCACCTCTCATCGCCCCTATGTCACCTCTCATCACCCCTATGTCACCTCTCATCGCCCCTATGTCACCTCTCATCGCCCCTATGTCACCTCTCATCGCCCCTATGTCACCTCTCATCACCCCTATGTCACCTCTCATCGCCCCTATGTCACCTCTCATCGCCCCTATGTCACCTCTCATCGCCCCTATGTCACCTCTCATCCCTATGTCATGTCCCCTATCATCTCCCCTATGTCACCTCTCATCGCCCCTATGTCACCTCTCATCGCCCCTATGTCACCTCTCATCTCCCCTATGTCACCTCTCATCGCCCCTATGTCACCTCTCATCATCGCCCCTATGTCACCTCTCATCACCCCTATGTCACCTCTCATCACCCCTATGTCACCTCACCCCTATGTCACCTCTCATCACCCCTATGTCACCTCTCATCGCCCCTATGTCACCTCTCATCACCCCTATGTCACCTCTCATCACCCCTATGTCACCTCTCATCCCCTATGTCACCTCTCATCGCCCCTATGTCACCTCTCATCGCCCCTATGTCACCTCTCATCGCCCCTATGTCACCTCTCATCACCCCTATGTCACCTCTCATCGCCCCTATGTCACCATGTCTCATCGCCCATGTCACCTCTCATCGCCCCTATGTCACATCTCATGTCACCCTCATGTGTCACCTCTCATCGCCCCTATGTCACCTCTCTCATCGCCCCTATGTCACCTCTCATCCCCCTATGTCACCTCTCATCACCCCTATGTCACCTCATCGCCCCTATGTCACCTCTCATCACCCCTATGTCACCTCATCACCCCTATGTCACCTCTCATCACCCCTATGTCACCCTCATCACCCCTATGTCACCCTCTATGTCCCCTCTCATCTCTCCCCTATGTCACCTCTCATCGCCCCTATGTCACCTCTCCCTATGTCACCCCTCATGTCACCTCTCATCACCCCTATGTCACCTCTCATCCCCTATGTCACCTCTCATCACCCCCTATGTCACCTCTCATCACCCCTATGTCACCTCTCATCACCCCTATGTCACCTCTCATCACCCCTATGTCACCTCTCATCGCCCCTATGTCACCCTCTCATCACCCCTATGTCACCTCTCATCTCATCCCTCTATGTCACCTCTCATCACCCCTATGTCACCTCTCATCGCCCCTATGTCACCTCTCATCGCCCCTATGTCACCTCTCATCACCCCCTATGTCACCTCTCATCACCCCTATGTCACCTCTCATCGCCCCTATGTCACCTCTCATCACCCCTATGTCACCCCTCATCATCACCCCTATGTCACCTCTCATCCCCTATGTCACCTCTCATCACCCCTATGTCACCTCTCATCACCCCTATGTCACCTCTCATCACCCCTATGTCACCTCTCATCGCCCCTATGTCACCTCTCATCGCCCCTATGTCACCTCTCATCGCCCCTATGTCACCTCTCATCGCCCCTATGTCACCTCTCATCGCCCCTATGTCACCTCTCATCGCCCCTATGTCACCTCTCATCACCCCTATGTCACCTCTCATCACCCTATGTCACCTCTCATCGCCCCTATGTCACCTCTCATCACCCCTATGTCACCTCTCATCGCCCCTATGTCACCTCTCATCGCCCCTATGTCACCTCTCATCACCCCTATGTCACCTCTCTCCCCCTATGTCACCTCCATCGCCCCTATGTCACCTCTCATCGCCCCTATGTCACCTCTCATCACCCCTATGTCACCTCTCATCGCCCCCTATGTCACCTGTCACCTCTCATCGCCCCTATGTCACCCCTATCCTATGTCACCTCTCATCACCCCTATGTCACCTCTCTCATCGCCCCATGTCACTCTCTCATCACCTCCTATGTCACCTCTCATCGCCCCTATGTCACCCTCTCATCGCCCCTATGTCACCTCTCATCGCCCCTATGTCACCTCTCATCGCCCCTATGTCACCTCTCATATGTCCCCTCATGTCACCTCACCTCATCGACCCCTATGTCACCTCTCATCACCCCTATGTCACCTCTCATCGCCCCTATGTCACCTCTCATCGTCACCCCTATGTCACCTCTCATCGCCCCTATGTCACCTCTCATCGCCCCTATGTCACCTCTCATCGCCCCTATGTCACCTCTCTCCCCCATGTCACCTCTCTGTCCCTATGTCACCTCTCATCCCCCTATGTCACCTCTCATCACCCCTATGTCACCTCTCATCATCCCCTATATGTCACCTCTCATCACCCCTATGTCACCTCTCATCGCCCCTATGTCACCTCTCATCCCCCTATGTCACCTCTCATCGCCCCTATGTCACCCTCTCATCTCTCATCCCCCTATGTCACCTCTCATCGCCCCTATGTCACCCTCTCTCATCGTCCCCTATGTCACCTCTCATCGCCCCTATGTCCCTCATCGCCCCTATGTCACCTCTCTCATCGCCCCTATGTCACCTCTCATGACCCCTATGTCCCTCTCACCCCTATGTCACCTCTCATCGCCCCTATGTCACCTCTCATCTCCCTATGTCACCTCTCATCATCCCTATGTCACCTCTCATCGCCCCTATGTCACCCTCATCATCCCCCTATGTCACCTCTCATCGCCCCTATGTCACCTCTCATCACCCCTATGTCACCTCTCATCGCCCCTATGTCACCTCTCATCACCCCTATGTCACCTCTCATCGCCCCTATGTCACCTCTCATCGCCCCTATGTCACCTCTCATCGCCCCTATGTCACCTCTCATCGCCCCTATGTCACCTCTCATCACCCCTATGTCCCTCTCATCACCCCTATGTCACCTCTCTCATCGCCCCTATGTCACCTCTCATCACCCCTATGTCACCTCTCATCGCCTGTCATGTCACTCATCACCCCCTATGTCACCTCTCATCATCCCCTATGTCACCTCTCACCCCTATGTCACCTCTCATCGCCCCTATGTCACCCTCTCATCACCCCTATGTCACCTCTCATCACCCCTATGTCACCTCTCATCGCCCCTATGTCACCTCTCATCGCCCCTATGTCACCTCTCATCGCCCCCTATGTCACCTCTCATCATCCCCTATGTCACCTCTCATCGCCCCTCATCGCCCCTATGTCACCTCTCATCACCCCTATGTCACCTCTCTCATCGCCCCTATGTCACCTCTCATCACCCCCTATGTCACCTCTCATCACCCCTATGTCACCTCTCATCTCCCCTATGTCACCTCTCATCGCCCCTATGTGTCACCTCTCATCACCCCTATGTCACCTCTCATCGCCCCTATGTCACCTCTCATCGCCCCCCCTATGTCACCTCTCATCGCACCCTATGTCCCTCTCATCCCCTATGTCACCTCTCATCACCCCTATGTCACCTCTCATCGCCCCTATGTCACCTCTCATCATCACCCCTATGTCACCTCTCATCGCCCCCCTATGTCACCTCTCATCACCCCTATGTCACCTCTCATCGCCCCTATGTCACCTCTCATCGCCCCTATCACCTCTCATCCCCTATGTCACCTCTCATCGCCCCTATGTCACCTCTCATCACCCCTATGTCACCTCTCATCACCCCTATGTCACCCTCATCTCATGTCACCCCTCATGTCCCCTCTCATCACCCTATGTCACCCTCATGTCACCCCTATGTCATCGCCCTCTCCTCTCATCCCCTATGTCACCTCTCATCATCCCCTATGTCACCTCTCATGCCCCTATGTCACCTCTCATCGCCCCTATGTCACCTCTCATCCCCCTATGTCACCTCTCATCACCCCTATGTCACCTCTCATCCCCCTATGTCACCCTCTCATCATCTCCCCTATGTCACCTCTCATCGCCCCCTATGTCACCTCTCATCTATGTCCCCTATGTCACCTCTCATCACCCCATCATCCCTATGTCACCTCTCATCGCCCCTATGTCACCTCATCGCCCCTATGTCACCTCTCATCGCCCCTATGTCACCTTCATCGCCCCTATGTCACTCTCTCATCCCCTATGTCACACCTCTCATCGCCCCTATGTCACCTCTCATCGCCCCTATGTCACCTCTCATCCCTATATGTCACCCTCATCACCCCTATGTCACCTCTCATCGCCCCCTATGTCACCTCTCATCACCCCCTATGTCACCCTCTCATCACCCCTATGTCACCTCTCATCACCCCCTATGTCACCTCTCATCACCCCTATGTCCACCTCTCATCCCCTATGTCACCTCTCATCCCCTATGTCACCTCTCATCGCCCCTATGTCACCTCTCATCATCCCCCTATGTCACCTCTCATCGCCCCTATGTCACCTCTCATCACCCCTATGTCACCTCTCATCGCCCCTATGTCACCTCTCATCCCCTATGTCACCTCTCATCACCCCTATGTCACCTCTCTCTCGCCCCTATGTCACCTCTCTCATCCCCATATCTCACCTCTCATCACCCCTATGTCACCTCTCATCGCCCCTATGTCACCTCTCATCGCCCCTATGTCACCTCTCATCGCCCCCTATGTCACCTCTCATCACCCCTATGTCACCCTCTCCCTATGTCTCTCCCCCTATGTCACCTCTCATCGCCCCTATGTCACCTCTCACCCCATGTCACCCCTATGTCCCTATGTCTCTCATCATCCCCCTATGTCACCTCTCATCATCCCCTATGTCACCTCTCATCACCCCTATGTCACCTCTCATCTCCCCTATGTCACCTCTCATCACCCCTATGTGTCTCCATCTCATATGTCACCTCCCCTATGTCACCTCTCATCACCCCCTATGTCACCTCTCATCACCCCTATGTCACCTCTCATGCCCCTATGTCACCCTCTCATCACCCCTATGTCACCTCTCATCGCCCCTATGTCCCTCTCATCACCCCTATGTCACCTCTCTCATCACCCCTATGTCACCTCTCATCACCCCTATGTCCCTCTCATCGCCCCTATGTCACCTCTCATCACCCCTATGTCACCTCTCATCGCCCCTATGTCACCTCTCATCACCCCTATGTCACCTCTCATCCCCTATGTCACCTCTCATCACCCCTATGTCACCTCTCATCACCCCTATGTCACCTCTCATCCCCCCTATGTCACCTCTCATCGCCCCTATGTCACCTCTCATCGCCCCTATGTCACCTCTCATCGCCCCTATGTCACCTCTCATCGCCCCTATGTCA